GGGGAGGGCCGCTGCTGGGTGCCTGCGCCCCTCCTCCTCCTCCTCACCCCCTGCGCCGCGGAGCGCGCAACGGTAGCTGCGAGCGTCACGCCCTCCTTCGTGTGTATTCCGTTTTCTGCCGTTGAGGGATTTGATTTCTGTGCACCAAATGTGTGAAATCAGTGCTGCCTGAGTGATTCCAAGGTATGAATATGCGTGCGAGATTTCAGCGGCACTAACCGTATTCAGTCTCTGGCGAGGCCAGGGTTTCCTTGGTCCGGTACACTGTATTGTCTAGTGGGAATGCCCTGGGGTGCCGATAATATTTCAGTTACTGAATCACAGAACACCACTATATGTAAACATATACTCTCTCGTTATACAGCGTTAAAACAAAATGTCGTCATCGTTGCAATCATCCTCGTCTTCACATGTACATAACTGTACTGCTCCCTTATTGGATCTTCAGGAAGAGTTTCTTCCTCATGCTACTGAGGCAAGTTCATTCTATTCCTGTTAAACTTTTTTTCATTCTATTTACTTTGTTAACATGATTCAAAACAGGTATTTCCAAACACAGTGCTTAGCTACAGATGGGAAGTAGGTGCTGTTTCAAAAAATGGGCAAGTGAGCGTGCTGGACATAAAAATGGTATACTGAAACCAGAAAAAATCTTATTTGTTCTTTTCTGCTTACATAGATGGGCTCAAATAAATTAAACCAATATTAAATCTTCCAAGATGCTTTTTTCATGGAAAGTAGTTAAATTCAAGAACTTGATTTTGGTTATATAACAAAGAAAAAGCTATTGAGACCTTCACCGTGTTACACAAGTTGAGGTCTGCCAGGAAACATAAGCCACATAAATATATATATATAAAATAAAAAACCTTTACACATTTGGAGTATAGTTATTTGGTTTATGGCAACAGTTGGGAGCAGAGCAGTCTTGGAAATTTCCCAAATTCTCTTACTCATTTCCTTAATTATGCTAAGGAGATACAGATGTAAATTGGTCTGACAGATCCTTTTAATGGAAGTGTACCTGGCACAGGCTGAAAGCAGGGGAAATGTCTACTGGTAGGTGGAGAAGGCAAGACTTCTGAAAAATAATGAGTAGTCAGTGGAGGACTGACGGGAGTAAGCAGGTAGTGCTTGACAAGGGCATCAATCATGCTGGAGTGTGAGAGTAAAGGCAGGAGTGAGGTGTTTAGAGAAGGGGTGAGGGTGATGGCAGGTTTCTGGTGTTTGTCAGGGAAGTGGGGGGAATGGGATGCATTTAGGTAGTAGGAAATGATACTTGGCTCTGGACTTGCTGTGACATGGGCAGCATCATGTTCCTGTGCAACCCTGCCTGGTGAGGAACTTTTCTGAACTGGGGAAAGAGAAAAGCCATTGATGCCTCCAAATTGGCAGAACTGTGCTGTGAAACACTGTATCAGTGTCTGAGCAGGACTTGACCTCCACCTTCACTGGAGGTGAACTGTTTACCTTTGCCTTGTAGATGAGGTGCGTTCTGTGAGCAATCAGTTTGATGGTACAGCATGTGGTATCACAGGCTTTGGAAGTAATGAATGAGAGATTTCTTTGATGTTCAAAATGTCTCCTAAATGATTCTCCTGAAGAGCTGTCTTGTTTTATGTTGATATCATTGAATTAGCAAGATCAGTGTCCTAACTGTGAGTGGTACTAAATGTTATGTAATGATGAATGCTATTTCAGGGAAAAACATACGTGCCACCTGGTGAAACAGGAAAACCTTGTTCACTGATTCAGCTGTATAAAAAAGATTATTGTAGAACTGCAAAAGGCATCCAAGATGGAAAATATTTTACCAATCTGAGCAAAGAATCTGGCAGTCTAGAACACCAAGTAAGAAAATATATAAGGCATCACCGTAGAACCAATGCAAATGTACTTTTCTTACGGAAGTCTTATACTAACATTTAGTCTTATCTTCTTTAATAGATGTATTGGAAAGATTTCTTTCTTATGTCCTGTTCACTAAAAGAGTTCCTGCAAAGTTTGAAAGAATTTGGTGGGCTATGTATGTTAAAACAAGAGGTAGATCACAATGAATTCCTGTTTAACAGTGGTGTTATGGAACTTGCACAGAAACCTGATGAAGAATGTGGATTTCTTTTAAAATTTAATGTGTCTTGTCATTGCTGACTTTCTTAGTTTTCTTTCAGAAGTCATAAAACTAACCTTTTGTTCTTGCAAGCTAACAGATGGGTGTTTCTTCTGAAATTTTTTTAAAGACAATATTCTTGATTTTCAGGTTTTCATAGACAATGCTAGCTGTCTTACAGCATGGGGCTTTTTGTTGATCATTTCAGATGAAGTTCATAGATAACTAAATGTGAGGAAGACAATTTTCCTGAGAATGGAAAGATGGCATGGATAATTTAGGTTTCCAGACACTTTTCAATTCTGGGAAGTGTTCTCAGCCTTCCTATTTTTGCTGATAAATTACTGTGGGATCATAAAACACCATTCCTGTTTATATGATAGTTTTTTGCTGATAGCAAATTGGACTCAGTGCAGTCAGGAAAGGATTGGACTACTACTGAATACAGTGTTTATGTGGAAGTGAAAATCTGGATGAAGAATTGGGGTCCATGTACTGACTTTACAGATAAACATGGGATCAAGATTACAGAACATTCTGAGGAATTACATGCAGGACAGGATAAGATGAATGCTTTGAAAGGAGCTGTAAAACTTCTGATGCCAAAGTTTCTCCTTTGAGGCAGTGGATTTATCCTCTCACTAGTACGATGAAAGTCTCACAATTTTTTATTTTTTTTTTTTTTTAAATGGAAAGTTACCACACCCCAAAAATTAGATATTTTAAAATGAGAAGCTTGATAATATTATAGGGACATAAATTCTTTTGGATTTGTAGTAACAGTTAGTGTAGGTTGATTTTTGTGATCTCCAGACTATGCTTTCTCATTCAGTCTTCAAATTCTCTTATCTAACTGAAGTTCCTGAAAGACTTTAATACTTAATATTAACCTTTAAAATATTACAAGTTGTACAGATGCGTTTACTATTTGACTAGGTGTTTAAATAACACTTAAGTATTTATGGTATTTAGAGTCCTTTTAGCTAAAGTAAAGAAATTGGTGTATGGAAAGACCCTAATTTATTTTCTTCAGCTACAAAGTTCTGTGCACAAAATAAATTGAATCTTTAGGTTTAAACCATCAGATCTAAGTAGCTTGTATGTGAGCTTTTATATTCATATGTACCAAATTTGAAAACGTAGCAAATTATATGTGCAAAATTCAACTGTTGAAAAAATGCTAAATCAATTATAAAATGAAGTAATTTTTTTAATATTTCCTTTGAAGTTAAACAGTAAAAACATTGATGCTTTGATGCAGAAGTTAAGTGAAAACGAAACCCAAAATACTGTAAGTAAATTAAAATTTCTGTCTCTTTTTTTTTGTCCTGTGCTGTACATCTTAAAATGGCTATGTCATGGGATTGTACAATTTCAAGTGAGAGTGGCAAAGTGGAAGTATTTGTGGTTTATCAGCACAAAATGTAATAGTTTTACAGATGATATGTTCATCAGTGTGCATTACTGTTGGATTGTTGTGTACAGACATTAAAATAATGTCTTTGGTTTTTCTTTTTTCCGTGAAGAATCTCAGGAGAAAAATACTTGAAAGGGAGAAGCATATTAAAGATCTTTCATCCAGGCTTCAGCTTGAAAAAGTGAGTGACCAGTTCTGTTGGACTGAAAGTTTTCTCCCAGTGTACTAGGTTCTCATTTACAAATTTTAGAGAAAAGCAATTATTTCAAAGATCTATGAAAACCAGGAAAACCCTGAAAGATGTTCCCTACAGAAATATCTTAAAACCATCAAGACTGTATCCAAACCTATTAAGAATACAGGTTATCCTTAACACTAATATCTCATGGTTCATGGAGGGCCATACATCTAGGCTAATGGCTTTTGGCTTCTCATTTACAGATTTTCAATAGTTCTGGAAAAAAATATTTACAGTGAGGGAATACAGAGTGAACTAAACAGGTACCGTTCACAGTTATTTTCCATGGTTCTTTGAGCTCTATGAGTAGGGAGAGGTAGTACTGACAGCAGAGCTAGTATCATCAAAGGCTGACAAGACCTCCTTCTCTCTTTGAACTAAAGGAAGGGGCTCAGTGCAGAAACCAAAACAGGAAGAGAAGAATTGTCTGTCCTGTATAAGAAGGTACTATAAAAGTTTAAAAAATATTTTACTGGTAGTTTAGCAATCTGTGCTTGTATACCAAAGTGCACTTTATGTGTATGCAATGCAGTGTGGTTCAGTGTTAGTGAGGGACAGAATAGGCTCAGTTAAACCTTTAAAGGGACAGTGGTGTACTTTGATTTTGTAACTCCTTGGGGTTTGTTGAGAGTCATGGTTCTTTGAGAATTTATCTTCACTTAACCAAGAGAACATACCACTTGGCTGCAGGATAAGCTTAGCCAGCTAATTGTACTAGAGGAGCCTTTGGGGGTGCCTCCTTTTGCACCTGGCCATTGGCATGTCCTTGTCTTTATCTTGAAGTGCAGCAGCATGTTTTCATAGAAACATCCTTTTGCTTCAGAGTGGAAGTCCTGAATAGAAAAGCCTATAAAGATTCTGAAGACTACAACACCAGTAAACGACAGCGTTGATGGGATCTGTGCAGCATGCTCTGCGCTGACTAGAGATGTGTCTAATGTTGAACAATTCGGGGTGTCCAGCATCTGAAGGGATAAATGATTATCTGTGCTATCCTCTTGTTCCTTCTTATGTTATCTCCAATAAATGGCATTTTTATCAATATCTGACTGAGTCTGAATCTGACTTTCTTACTGATATCTATAATGAACACTTGCACTGGTGCATTACAATGCCCTTCTAGTCTATCCTGATAATATGACTTTGTCCTACCTGTTTTCATTATTTCTTACTTAGAATGAGCCAAAGGAAATAGCCCCCCCCCCCCCCCCCCCGAGGTTTGAATTAAGTGTATGAATACTTCTAATAGCAGATGGTGGTCTTTGGTATTTAATGAAAATCAGTTCAGTTTTAATTAGACAGTGCAGAGCTGATCAGTGTGGCTTAATTTTGGTCTACCTGCTAGCTGGATGCCCTTGCTCAGCCTGAGTTTCTGAGTTCATGCTTCCAGGCCTTGTTCATACTACTTAAAGAGTCAGATTAAGTATGAGACATCAATTACACATATGTTCTTTCAAGTTTGTGATTTCTGTTTAACATGAATAACATTAGCAAAAAGTTACTTCCTGTGAATATACTTGTAGAGCATGCTTTATCTTTTCCAGCTTTTGAGGGCATTCAATATCAGTTAGAAACTAAGGTGAAGTAGAATATAGGTAGCATTATACAGTATATCTCCATAGACCAATAGATTTCCATTTATTTCTCTTTCTTAGGTCAATGTACAGAAAAAAGACTACCTGTCAAGATCAGTAAAGGCAGTACAAGCTCACCTGCAATGTCAGATTCAAAGAAAAGAAGTGGAAAATGAAGAATTAAAAGTGAAAATACAGGTCAGCATATTTTTACTTGTGTTTCAGTTAATTTGAAAAAATTAGCAAAGCCTTATTGTGGTTAAAGTTTAACTCAGATGTGAGAGTTAAATCTTTAAGTATTACTTGAAATCAAACTCTTAGTAAAAGAAAAAACCCAAACAGTAAAAATCATTAGCATTTATATTCTGCTCAGTCTGCCTGACCACATTATCTTAATTGCAAGGGTGGATTTTTTTCTTCTTTTCTCAACTTGTGCATACTAGCAGTTCTACTGAAGGGAAGTTAAGCACACATAAAAGCATTTGCACTTACCCAGCTGTGCTATCTAGAAGATAGATACCGATCCTGAGGCAGTCTCCATATAGTCAATGGAAAGAGATAGGCAAGTCCCCAGGATGAGCTTCTGTTGGAAGAGAGGGGTGATGAATCACCACCTGTTTCTTTTTATTGACTGTGAAGGAATCAATAAAACTCTTAATACTGACTGAAAGAAAAACACTTAAGATTAATGCCTAACCTCATTTTGTTTAAAGTAGGTGAAATTTTCCATTTTCTGTTCTAAAAGGCAAGAGGTAAGTTTGGACATTTGCATCAGTTACTGGCTTTAGAACAAGGCAAGGAAGAGGTCATGTGTCAGAGGCTGGAGCTGTATGTGGCCTCAGATGTCAGTATTTGAAACTTGTCAAGAACATAGGCATGAATGAGAGAACATCAGCTAAAAAATAATGCATTTCTTATTTCCAAACTTCTTTTAGTGGCATATATCCCCTATTAATTATACCATTTGAAGTTGTTAAGGAACCTATAGCAACGCAATTTCAAAAAAAGTCACCTATGTCTATGTCTGTTTAAGTACTTCAAGTTTTCCTCTGAATACAAATTGCTTTCTTGTTCTCCCTCGTACAATTATAGAATTCCAATAACATTTTCATTAGGTAAAGTAACTTGGTGTACCACTGTATTTTCATTCAGTTTTATTTAAAAGTTTTGTTCATTTGCTTTTCAAAAAGTGCTGAAGTCAGTTACTAGCTTAAATCCTGGTGATGATTATTTTAATATCTGAACAAAAACTTGCAAAATCTTAGGATTACCCTTATGAAATGAATTCTCAATTTAAATTTACCTCGGCCACTGAATAATGCCCAAAGCACTTATTCTTAGTGTGATTGTGACCTCCTGTGGTTATAACAAGGGATAACAGTTGTTTACTTATACCAACAGTTCAAGAAGTCTGTACATAGACTCAGATTTTCTACTTGCTCTATTTATTGAAGTTGTTCTTCTGCTACTCCCTGCAAGTCACACCTTTGTTAATTAAATTCCCTGTAAGCATCTATATATGAAAACTGCTTCCTGCATATTTGGGGTTTTTATAATTTCATTTTGTGAAGTAGTACTTTTTACTTTTTGGTGAGTCCCACTACCTGAGACCATCTTTTACTCAGAAAGCCACATATATTTTGCACTGATTCTGGAAAAGTTTTGGGGCCATTAGCAGGACCTGTGCTGACAGATATCCTTTCATATGCATAATACACATATTTAATAGCAATTGACAAGTAGTATCTTGAATAAGGTTGGCACATTAACGTAATAGGTAAATGGCATGTCATTCTGGTCTTTATTCATGTAGAAAATAATTGTCAGACCTAGACTCAAATGAAGGAAACAAATACATTAATCATTATTACAATTAGGATATTTATCAGTGACTTGAGAAATGTCTTTACACTGCTAGCCTACTTACACTGATGTAGTTTGGCAGAAAAAGAATAAGTTAAATGAATAGAACTTGCACTTGTCTTTATGAAAGTAGTTGTCTACTGGTAGCTTCTTCATGTTTCTGGTAAGCTGTAGCACCTTAAAAATAGTTGCATCTGAGAATCTCCCTGAAGCAGATTCCAGTATGGCTTTTATTGTAAGTTATCATGCATTGTTTTAATGTCTGGTCTTTTGTACATTCATATTTAAATAGCAAGTGGTATGTAGATGAAAAATAACAAAAGTCATGAGGTTAGAGAGGTCAGCTCCCTGGACTGGATGGGATCAGTACACTGCCTTCATCAGAGTAATGTGCAAATCTAGTTAGTCAGAAATTTCAACAGCAATAGAAAAGATAATATAATGACAGTTGTAGAACCCAGCTCTCATCTCAACTGCATTGTACACATTTCATAATATAATCAAATGCATTAAAAATACATTTAAGGCAAATGTATTTTACATATAGTTAAATAAAAATGAATTTAATGCAAATGTATTTTATTTCCTGAGTGCTGCAAAATCAAGCGCTCAGGAAATTGTAGTTATAAGCTGTCCTTACAATGTGTGATTTATTGCTGTGGTTTAAGCTTTATTATAGCCTGTTTTAATTATCTGTAAACAATTGTCTGTGTGGGCAAGACAGTGCTTAATCTTTTCATGTTTCCTGCTTCACTACCCATTGAACACAAAATATAACTTCCCATAAAAGATAGCTTCTTCACTAAACCATTCTGTTTCATTAATAGAGAAGATGGGGCAGGAGGGAACAACACTATTATATACATGGGAAAAAGTCAGAGATCTTGCAAGAAAATAGTAAATGGTCATCTAATCACAGACCATATCATAATACATAGCTTCAAGAAAAGACCCTGGCCTTTCCTAGCTTCTTGACTTAAAAAAACCCAAATCCAAGACCTTAACTTCCATATTCAATTCTTTTACGCAGTTATACTGATCTCCAGTCTTAGTTGTGTGTGTGCTCACTGTAGATTCAGAGCACAGACTAGTACTACATCAGTAAGTATCACTAGTAGCATCCTTCCAGAAATCAGCCACTAGGGATGATGAAACCTCTTTTATTTTCCTCCTCGTTAATAGGTTTAACATCCATGCCATGCCTTCTGTACTGAAATTCTGCATTCTTTTCCAAGAGCACACAGCAATGGTTATATTGCTGTCTTTCCCCTTTACTGCTGCCTGCTTCTGCACCTTCTCAACCTCGTCTCTTGATCATCTTTGTAATGAGTTTCCCAACATGTATTTTCTCTTGCCTAATGATGTATGTATGTTGGCTAGCTCCTTGTATCAACCACAAGATTTGAGATACAAAGACATTATTCAAAGAGATTATAAATGTAATTGATATTCCTGATTATGTTGTGTCACAAAAGGATCTGTAAGGTATAGAATTTGAAAAGAGTTGATGTTTAATTATGCTGCAGACTCTAGAAAAGAAAATAGCAGAGTGGAAACTTCAAGTTGGTGAATACAAGCACCAGATGTTAGCCTTAAAGGAAACAAGTGAGCAAAAGAAGACTGCTCTGAAAAAAGCAATCAGGTCCCAGAAACAAAGAGCTCAACGCTTTGAAGCAGCTGTGGAAAACTTAACCTCCAGAATAAGAGAATGTGTGAGTGATTATACTGTGAGCAATGCTGTCCTGTATTGTTTTAAATTGAACAACTGGGAGACTTTCACCTGTGTAAAATAGAAGTTGGTTGGTCATACTGTGTTTGTATCTCTTTTATTATTTTGCTGCTTGGTTAAGGAAGAGGTTGCTATAAGTGACATGAAAACTGTTATTACATTAACTGCCTTGGTTTTGTTAAAATTTAGTGAATGTCAAGTTGTCCACTTAAAACTGTAGTAAGTAAGAGGAGTCTTATCAGATTTCAGTTACATCTCTCCTGATCTTCCTGTTAGACCTTTATGGATATCCACTAACCCAGAAGTACATAATGCTAACTGAGAATCCATGATTGGTGTTTGAAGTCTCTGTTTTCATTATTTATCAGTGTATGACATCTTATGTAGATACTTAGATTTCCATTTTTAAGCTGCTTGATCTGAGCCTTTTCAAAATCCAAGTACAAAATTTCCTTAATCCAGATTGTGCCTTAGATCCTTGCCCTGCATATCCCTACAGTGTGTAACTGTTCGAAAAGGGCCAGGTGGATCAGAACTGTGCCAAGATCTTTATTCCCTCTTTAGATTTCCTAATAAGAGTATGTTTTCATACTCCTAGATTTGTTGCCATCATTTTGGACATGTTAGTAGCAAATATATATTTTTCCAGTTAGTACACCAGGAAGTGGTGGTTAATATTTTTTTTTTCTTTGATCTTTGTGAGAAGACAGTAGTGGATCTTGAAGTACACTTAGTAGTACAGAGGGTTGTACTAACTGCTGAAGTTTTGATGTTTTGTAGTCACACTGTTGTTTTCTTTCCCCACCGAAGACTTGGTGTACTTTCAAGATACATGTGTTGGTTAATTAACCATACTTCTTCAAGGGATTTCACCTAACTTTGCATTTCTTACCTAGCTATTATTTTTTATTCTTAAAATGTTTTGAAATAATTTTATTTTTGTATTGATTTATGTAATTTATATGTAGTAGAGATATATTAGAGACAAATATTTTTGTTCTAAGAAAAGATTTTAATCTTAAATTTTGAAATATTGTTGTAGTCTACAATTGATATACAGTGCCAGTGTTTAACTGCTTCTCTGCCTTGAAAGTACATCTCTACTTAGACTTTAATTTTTTTGAATGTAATTTTGTTTATTTTCTTTTGAAATAAGACAAAATTTACATTGCTTTTTACTAGGGAGATCAAATAAAGCCATCTTATATTAAATAGCTCTTGTGTTTAGAAAAATTTATATAATTAGATGGCATTCTTCAGTGGTATTCTTTTGTTACATAATTTGTAATCCTATATTATCTAGGAAGTCAAACTGTCTGAGATACTGTCAGCTTCCGACATTTGGAAAAGCCAGCATGATAGAATGGTTGAAGGAAAGACAACGTTACAAATTCAAACGGAAGATCTCAGGAAGTAAGTTAAACTGTTGATCTATTATTTTTGTTGTTGCTGTAGTGACACAGTGTTGATAGTTAGTAGTGTAGTCCTCAGTGTTGATAATGTAAACAAGTTTATATATTAATATTTTAAAATTCTAGGCAGAATTTAGAAGTGTGAAACTAGAACAAATTTAAAATGTTTAGCCTTCTCTCTGCTGCATTTCATAAGTTTTTTAAAAACTTAATTCCCCCATACAAGTAAGGAACGGATGAATACTTCCAATTAGCCTGAACTTATTAGCAGCTACTATCCTGCTTCCTCAGAATCACTTATTTAGTAATTGATTCAACAGCTTGAGTATTAAACCTTTGTGTCTACTGCAGTATAGAAGAAGGTTCTTAGGCTTCTAGTTTCTACTTCAAACGATGGCAAAATTATTTCAGTTCCACTAGTGTCTCACCCCACTAGAGGATAGAGAAAGGTTCCTCTAAGATGTGCATTTGAACAGTTCATTGTAAGGAAAAGCAACAAAAAATTGTCCAACCTCATTCAAACTATACAGTCAAATCTTAACGTACATGAAGCAGATGCCATTTTCCTTGGCAGACAGTGGCAAATATCCTTTTACCTTTTCTGTCGGTAGAAGTATGGACTATAATTCAAACAAGCCAAAGAAACTGGTATCTGCCTTTATGCTAGGTCTCAGGCAGAATGTTTATTGTGCAAAAAATTTGATTCATGCTCAGATACATAACAGCTCAAATGAAATTGGCTTGAGTTTTGTTTTTGTTTGAGAAAATCTGGTGTTTCTGAAAATATTTTCAGCATATTTTAAAATTTAACAGGTGATGTTTAACTTCATTAATATGAAAAGCAAATGGAGAGGCATAGCACAACTTGTTGATTTTAATAATGGAATGTAACATTCCTAAACTAGCTATGGAATGTTCTTAGTAAGACATTATCTGATAGACCCTGTAAATTCCATATAATTAAATTTTGTACAGTATGTATATGCAGAGTTGTCTTGGAAGTATGCTTGGGTGTTCTAGGTAATGTATTTGTTTATAATTGACCTAGGACCTTTGATGGACCACTCTTTTGCATAGTTTCTTATTTCAATAGATACTGCTTTCTTAGGATGCTTGATTGCATTATTTCTTTTTGGGTTTTTTTAATGAAATAAGAACAATGAAGGAGTACGTGTTAAGGTACAATTTAATTTGCATAGTGAGAGTTTTGGAAGCATTGTATATTATACAGACATTCTTGCCTATCTAAAAAGGCAGATCACAAGCCTTTTGGAAGACCTGAAAAGAAAGGAGGAATGGAGAAGAAACTCAGATGAGGAAATTCTTGGAAAGCTGAATTCTGTTAACTCTGAAAAGATCTACCTTGAAAATGAAAATGAAAAATTAAAGGTGAGATCTTTGTAAATCTTTGTTGAACGGCTCTGCATTTCAGATACTTTAATAAAGTAATCACATCAGTTCCCTTTGGGCCTCCAGAGATTCCAACCCTGTAGAATAAATTTTGCCATCCATTTTTTTACAGTAAGTGAAAATGAGGCATTAAATTTATCTGTGTAAATGGCAAAGCTAGGAACAGGGTTGGCTAATCTTCTTAACCAAGATGCCATTTATTTTACTGTCAGTAGCTACAAAATTGCTTAACTAGAAATTGTTCTTTTATGTTCATAAAACTTTCTTCAGATTAAAGAACTGAATTTAGCCCAATTATTAATTTCAATTTTTAAAGGGTTTACAGGTTTTGTGTTGTATTTGTCCTCCAAAGTAAATGTCTTTATGAGCTGACAAATGAACTGTGGGCTGTCATTTTTGTTTGACAGGATAAATAATTGTGTCATTCTTTTTTAGTGCCTGCAGGTCATTTACTAGTAATATCATATTGTAGACTGTGTTATTTTAATAACACACAGTTTTTATATTTTCCATGTTTTAATCAAGGCTTCCCTTGCTACATTGGAAAACAGTACTGTTTCTGTTGAAAATGAGCTGCAAAATCTGCAAGAAGAGGCAAAGCTGCAGGAAAACCTTGCTGAACAGTATAAAAATCAGGTCACCAAGCATATTTGAAATGTTCAAGTATGGGTTTTAAATTCTTAAGCAGTTTTGAGGAAATTGTAAAGGTTTTGTTTGTAATAAAACAGATGTATTATCATGGCCATTGTAATACTGTCATGACGCCGAGGATGATAAAAGAGAGTGCCATTGCAAACCATATCCAAGAATAGTCTCCCCACTATGACTAGTACATGTAATTCTTACTGAATTGTGTGAAGCCCAGCTGAAGCTCATTGAAGCCAACAGATCTAACTACACGATTGCTTAGAAAAGATTTGTTTCCTATAAAGCAAGTCGGCAAGCCAGTAAACTATATTTAAAAAATAAAATTTGAGTGTGATGTCTTTAGCAGACATATCCATATCTCTCATTGGTCACATCTTTATTTCCACATTCCTAAGAACAGTAAACTAGCATCCAAGTACTGTTTCAAGAGTCATTTTATTTACATAGGTAGCTCTACCTTGAAAATACCAGCAACACATATAAATCGGATTTAAAATGGGCTTTTTATCAGTTCCTTTTTTGTATTTGGCTTTATTTACAGAGAAAACATTTTAGAACATCGATTCAATGTTGTATATATTTCTGCTGTAGCATAGACACCATTTCACTGATAGTTTTCACTTACCTCTCTTCAAAATCATTGATGAGAGAAAAGACATGATATAAAATTTTACAACCAGTGAGCCTTGTCTGTGGAATACATCACCATAGTGAAAGTTGTTGCAAGCTTTAACATGGGGGATGTAGTTCTTAAGAAGCCAGTCTTAAGAAGTGAGTGGGCTGAAATTTCCTGACTTGTAGCTGTGGTGACTTCAGGTGGGAACAGTTGGTGATTACTGGTTTGTTATCTGGGAGGAAAGTCATGCTGGCTGCTTCCATAGCACAACTTGTAGCTCATCCTCTATTGGTGATAACAAAATATTGATATCAGTGTTCTTTATCTGGTTACCCTTTTATATTTGCCGTGGTGAGTAGGTTAATGAAAATAAATAACTTCATATAGTGACAAATATTGAGATTATATTTAAAAATCAAAGGTTTTCCTTTATGCTTCATACTAATGATTTTATCTTTTCTATATTTAAAAGAAACACCTTGAAAATGTATGTGAAAAATATATGTTGTCATAGGTACAAAAATTGCAAACAGCAGTAGAAGAATTGAAATCCAAATATGAAACAGTCTTAAATGAAAACAAAAGAATAACAGAAGATAAATGCTTAGAAGTAGATAAGGTAAGTTTTGCAGTAATAAATCATGTTTCCAAACAATTCTGTAGGACACTGATCTTTCTTACATTATTGTGATCCACTTACTAGATGTCACAAGGTACTGGCTCTTTTTTCTTTTTCCATGTATAAAATTGTTTGTAAATTCACTGAATATTTTACTACCTCTTACTTGTGAGCTGGTAGGTTTTTTTTGGATACTACACAATTGCAAACAGACAAGAAGTGGTTCCTAGAGTAATGACTAAGGAGTTGGGCTGCTATTTTAGAATTTGAGAATTATTGCTTTTAAAAATGTGATTTTGTTATTGATGATTTTAAAACTAGATTTCTTGACAGAACAGCTGTGAAAGTGGTGTAGGGAAGCAAACCTACTGTAAGACTGATTTGTTTGTTTTAACTAGCAGTTAAAACAGAGAATCCATAGAGATGAGTTTTAAGTTTTTCAGCAGTACTGGAATACAGTTAGCACATTCTTAAGCATCAGAAAGTAATACAAAATTGGCAGGAAAATCACTTTCCTCAGTTCCACAGCTCATCAAAATACATATTCTTTTAAGCAATAATGCTGAGGCAGGGACAGGCTTTGCATTGCCCGCAATGTTCTGTTCTAGAGAACAGAATTAGTCCTCACAGAGAAGTGTCTTAAATGTTCGTTTATTTCATACGAACTATTTTTTCATGATTGAGTTGTAGAATGGAGGAAAACGTTTTCTGATCCCATAAATATTTGCACAGCATTGTGTGTGGCTTCAGATGGCATTAGGTGTTGCCCTCTTTTCAAATACTGCAGTAGTTGTATTGTCAGAATTTTTCCTGTAATTTGCTTTGTGTGCCTGTATGACATGTCCCAAAAGATATTGCAATAAAAATAACATCAAAATTTGGGTATTGCATGATGAACTGCTAACAGTTGCAGTTGTGTAATTGTTCATTGTAATTTTGTAAATGTTCATTGTGAGTGTTATTGAGTCTTTAATGAAATGTAGTGAGAGATGGGAATTTCTCCAATGGGAACTTGTAACTGACAGTATTTTCTAAAACAGTGATACTATGCAACTTACATAGAATTTCAGATTTATCACGTACAGGGAAAGCCATTAAATATTACAACAATTAATTTATGGTTTTACATTTTTCTCTTGTGATGCTACTATGCAGGTGAGGGACAAAACAGAGGCTGAGTTAAAGGAGTTAGAACATGTTTGTGACTTGTGGAAAGCAGCTGAAGAAAAGCATCAAGGATATCAAGGAAAGCTTATGTCCTGGGAAAGGATCCATGCACAGAAATGCACAGCCCTTAGGGAGCTGCAGCTTCAGGTGCTTAGAACATGCTGATTTTTTTAAAGATAAATGAGAAAATTATGGAGAAGAAAGTGTCTGGGACACTTTTCCTATTAGCGTGTGTGACAGTTGTGTGGTTTCCTTTGTTATTTGCTTCATAAATCAAAAGCTTCTTCTGTAGAAATAGCATAATGCAAGTAAAACTATTGCCAACTGTATTTATGTGAATTTAGTATGTGACAAGCCTAGTTACTTTTAGATTCTTTATCTTTTAAGTGAGTATATTCTTGATCCTTTTGAATACTTATCTCCTGAGATATGTGGCAGAATTCTTCCCTGGAAATAAATGTGCAAGTCTAGTTATTGTTTGTATCTAGTGGAATAAATTAATTCCACATTAGTTTTGTTTTTAATGACTAATCTCTAAACCAGACAATATTTGCTCAAATAAATAGTTATAAATTATATTGTTGATGATGAATGACTAGCATTTTAATGATTACATTGTGTTGGTTGACAAAATATTTTTAAAATATGCTTTAATAGGATAATTTCTATTTTTAGCATACCTGCTTGTATTTTCTCTTAAACCTGAGCATGAATATCCATCAGCTTTTTTTTCTGTGACATCAGTTTCAATGGCAGGGCCAAGTTTAGGGGTTTCTGTTGTTCTCTGTTGTTTTTCAATGTGCTTTTGAGTTAGAAGAGAGTACTCTGCTAGCATGAATGACAAAGATGGTTGAATCAGTAGGGTGAGAAAGGGGCTTCATCTTCTTCCTGTGTCAGTAGGAAAACTTCAGCTGAAACACAGTGATTCTCTGTGTCCCTATAGACTTTATCTGCTTATAAAAAACCCCCATGGCTCTTGGTTTTGTTTTAAAATTTCTTGTCAAGATGATCTTTATAATATCAACTTTTGTTCTTGTTTATGTAATTTAAATACTCTTTCCAGGAATGCTCATAAGCTCATAAATCCATCTTTGCTTAGCAAAGTACTTAAGCAGCAATTAGTTTTGAGGTGCATATATAAGATTTTGTATGTAATTTTAATCTAACTACATCTTTTCCTGAATAAATGCACAAAACCCTCTTTAAGTATAGTGAAGTAGTTTCACTATACTTAAGTATAGAGTTACACACTACTATATAGAATTGCACACTACTAAATTTCAGCATTAAATCTTGGTAACATCCTTTAAAGATTCTGACCCTTGATCCTATGACTGGAATTTGGGAAAACTTCTTTTGAGGTAACTGGACCATGCACACAAACACTCTTCTGGGTTCAGCTGGAGCAGGACATCAGTTTATTACCCCTCTGCTGGAGGTTTCTGCTACTACCAGTCTGCTAGCTGAACAGCCTGTAATTTACATAAACAAAATCAACCAGGTTGGCTCAAATTACTGGGTGGAACTGCTTGAGGTAGTCCAGTGAATGGTGGAGGTTGTCCCTTAAAAAATGGTGCCAGCAGGCTGGTGATGTGGCTATTTATTGCTTATCTGCTGTGGATGGATGGTAGCAAGAGCAATATAGTCAAATCACTGTTGGAAGATACAAAAAAAAACGGAGTTTGTCAGTCTGGGTGCTGGGCAGGGGAAGACAGCTTGGCTTCTTGCTTTCTTCAGTTTATGTTACTGATATACTTCTTTTGATGAACTTGATTGTCTTTTTTGATATTTACTACTTTCTGAAATCCTTTGCTAGTGCTGCACTCTTCTTCTGTGATAACTCTCTATATATGTGGTTTTATTTTTATGCTTCCTGTGACTGTAGTGTGAGGGAATTTATTTTTGCTGGAATCTAAAGCTCAAGAGTCAGAGTTCATGAGGAGGTAGACCTGGCCAGCTCCTAATACACAAGGCTGCCTGAGCAGCATATGGGATTTGTTAGGACTTTGTTATATAGCAGGTTTTCAGTTTTAAAGTGTTCACGCAACATTTTAATCTGCTACTTTTGCTGTATTTCATTTGTTTTAAGCACAAGATAATGTTTACTTGAATATAATACAGTGTTTACCTGAAATTACAGTTAATTTTTTTCAGTTGGATTTTACTAGGCAACCTTAGTTTTACTCTGTAATATCCTGTATATAAGTTTCCAACTAGAAACAAATTGTCATTTTTTCAGGAGGAAGATACTGTAACTTCTCTGGGCAGTCATTCCTTAGAAGAAGAAAACTGTAACATTCAGAAGAAATATGAAAATCTTAAAAGGTAACTTTTAAAAAATATGACTGCAGTTAATTCCCGTATTTCTCTGCTATAGTGAATTATAATGCATTAATCTGTTTTGCATAAAGACAATTAGAAAAGATGGAATTTCAAAATGAAGAACTTGCTTGTCAGCTCAGAAAAGAAGATGAGAGTCTTCAGTGCAGTAAATTGAAGCTTGAAGAGAAAATTGCAGAATATAATGGATTAACCAGACAACTGGAATCTGCTTTGGAAGAAGGGAGAAAAATGGTATTGATTTAATATGTGTATTATTTAAGCATCCATAAAGTAAGATTAAGATAAGATTAAGATAATCTTGTTTGCCATTTTCTATTTAAAAATAGCGTTAAAAACAAATGTGCTTGACAAAAGATAGTATAAGGTTATTCTGCATGTAGGGAGCAATACTAAAAAGTTACTGGGAATTTCTGCATGTTTAAATATGTATTGCACAATTCAACTTCTTAATGGAGTCTGGATCCTATTGAAATTAATGACAAAGTTTACTGGGCCAACATTTCATTCTTTTTCTGGTGACAAATCAAAACGCTTTAAGCACCTAATATTAAATCCTACACATATGTCAGTTTTCTGAACAAAAGCTTAATTTTGCTTTTTTCTTATTTTCTTTGAAATAGGCAGCCCACAAGAACTTTGGTGTTGAATTCCTTCCATTTTAGACAAAGGCTTTGCGCATTTTCAATATTGAGCCGAGATTTGTAACTTAGAAAGGATGCAAACAGTAAATCAAATGGAAGAGGAAATGTAGGAATTCATATTGCAGTGAATTATATTAGTTTAATCAGAAAATATGTATGAAGTTGTAATTTCTGTCTCAGATTAATCATGTTGAAATTATCTGAATTTTCCCAATACTGTCTAAGCTTATTGATTTGGTTTTGGGAAAATAACAAGTTTTGTTTAACTTACAAATAAATTACAGAACTGTCTCCCTCCCAGTAATACTGCATTGTTTTCCAAATTGAAACCTTCAAAATTTAGCCAGAATATTTCCCAGGTTTGTTTAATTTCTGTGCATGAAAAATTACTGAAGTATTAGATGGCAAAATAGGAAATAGAGCTTTAAATGCTAAGGTATAAGAAAAGAGTTTGGTTTGGGCTTTAAGTGAAAGCAACTATACATCATTCCTCATCGCTATTATAGGTAGCTGAAGAACTAGAAAAAATGTCATACAGAGACCAAGCCCTTCAGGCAAAAATGCTAGTTCTTGAAACTGAAGTGAGAGAGGGGCAAGAAGAGAAGAAAAAACTCCTCTGCCTATTTCACCATGTGAGTAAATAATACTGTTTATGACTTAAGAAATTACTTACTACATCACTGTTTACAGTAAAAAATTCCTCTTACTGAAAACCACACTACTAATACAATTGATACACAATTTTGGGAACAGCAGATTCAACTTGACAATATCCTTTGTATATTGAAGTTTCTAATAGACTTAACAGATGCCCAGTCTAACTAAATCACTGGAATAATACTGAGTTGATGTCTCTTATTCAATCCAGTTTTCCCAGCAAGGCAAAAATAAAAAAAAATACATATGCATTTGTAATTTCCCTCTCAGATTAATCATGTTCAGCATGCATACCTAGATTTGAATAAATGCATAACAGTTCCATGATGACATAGTGGTGGGTTTTTTTTCCTGAGTTCGTTACAAGAATCTGATCTTACTGGAATTTGTGAAGAGCTTTCACCTTACATACCAATGTTGCACATAAGTGTAGTTAGTAATAAAAGAGATACTGTGATTTTTTTTTCAGTGTCAAGCTTTTAAAAGCCCAGGTTTTGATATGTTGATACTTACCTATTCAGCAAAGTAACAGTCTAAGAAGGTATCTTTGAGTAATACTCTCTGAAAACAAACAAAAGAAGTGTGATGTATTGTCTTATCGAATCCAGAAAATTTCAGCACATTTTCTATTAGTAAAATGTTAGACATAGCTAAATTCCCTAGACTAGTGATGGCAAATTATTTACTTTAATCAGAGTTTTGACACAGTTAGAGATTTGTCCTGTGTCAGTGATAATAAGCTACAAAGTGATTTAAAATAAATATAGGAGACACTGGAAAGGTTTACTATCACTCTCCTAGACTTTCGAAAACAATATTCATTCTGACTTGAAGCATTCAAGATTAAAATCAAGCCAACCTAAATGCAAACTATTCAAGATATAAATAAGACATGAGATACAATTCTGAATTCAGTATGCTTTAATTTTTATATATATCAAGTACAACTTAATGTCTGCATTTACCCTAAGAAAAAAAGTGTTCTTAAAACAATATCAGATGTTGGCTAGTGTTTTATTCTGTGAAAATATTTATTCAATGAAAAAATATTTAATTTTTTTCATAGGAATTTCTTACTATGTTAAAGAGAAAATAAAGCAAATTTTCTTGTCTTTTGTCCCAGAAAAAATGTTTTCAAATGGTTTCTGTTGGAAGCTTACAGTTAAAATATAAATGTGAAAGATATCTGTCTGAGAGAAGAATTGTTCTAAATTAATGAATTGATTTTTATTCCAATTACATTTACATATAACAGAATGCATTATGGAAAATGATAAAATGGGTTTATTCCTGTTGTAGTGAAAATGGAAACAAAATAGGACTGTGAAGGTAACTTTTTATTCAGTTATTCATCCTAACCTGATTATTTTTTTCTAAGGCTAGATTTAAATCTGTTTACTATAATTCCATTTTAAAAACACTGAAATATTTTAACCAATTAGCATCTGAAATCTGTAATAGACATAAAAGGAAATACCCTGAATATCTTTAGTATTTATATAACAAATGATCTATGGTATAATCAAGCATGGGACTGATGAGCAGGTGATACTGCTATCATTCATCTTTTTTATATAAGGAACTATAGGCATCAAAAACCATGTTGCATCAGAGCCCAATAACAGATGTTTCCTTGAAAAATCAACATGAGCGAGTGTTAAGTCTGTAACAGATTTAAGATGCTAGGAATCTTTCATGATAGAAATTCAGAAGGTTAGGTTTTACGTTCCCAGTCCTTTTTTGGGTTATAAGTGTATTCAAACATGTTCTACTTGGTCCTGACTGAAGGTAGGTAAAGCTTCAATGTTTTGAGGCCTTTTTGGGAAGTTTCAGTTATGTGGAGCCTCTGAAAACTTTTCAGATCTATAAGGCTTGTAAAAGTTAGATACTTTTTGTCTTACATAATTCTTTTGACTGATTTTAATTTTATTTCTAAGTTGCATTGCATTTCTCTTTTTTTCTTTAGAGTGAAAAACACCATGAAGTACGTTTGAAAGAGCTGGAGAACAGCCTACAGAAGTCAGAGAACAAGAACCAGAGCATCCAGAATTACGTGCAGTTTTTGAAAGCTTCATACATAACAATGTTTGGCTGATTTCTTTAATTTACTTTATTTAATAATAAACTTTTCAAGATTTTGTCTCTAACTCTTGTTGGAGGCAAGCTATTGAGGCCTTACAGTATTTTGCAGGATTGAGTACTATAATATTAGTTCTTCCCTAGGAGAACTACTGCTGTGGGCAGGGAAAAGCAGGTCAGTCATTGCTGTATATCCTACTGGCTGGGCACGTGTGGAAAATTTACCTGGTATTACTCATATAAAGAGTTGTGTTATTCATGGAACAGAAGTGAAAAGGCAGAGAGCGCGACAGTTGTGATAGGTGTGGAGGTGTGGGGTATGCACACAAAGTTGTAAATTTATCTGTGAATTTACCATGTGTTAGGTCCTCTGCTGTAAAATCTTATGTGCAGTCTTTTAGTCCATGGTAAATGCAGATGATCGCAGGTGACCTTTCAATTCACAGGGGGGAAGAGAACACTCATTGACCGGTTGCATAGTAATTTGTGTATTTTAATTATTAGTAATTATATAATATTTATCATTCATTATACTTCTGTTACTGTAGAAATCTAGTTGCCCAAGATGATATCTATCCTATTAAGACAGGCAAAAATTTAGAGATCATTAGGTTCTCTTCCTTTCTTTTCACTGTAGCTCAGCACCAGTATAGCACGTGCTGCTGCACTGCATGAAATAGTTGCCACCACAAGGCTGTCCCATCCAGCCTTTTTTCCCTACATCCCATTTTGAGCAGGAGTATACTGTAGTAGTATTTTATAAATATAAGTAGGAAAGTATTTTAGATACAGATATAGTTTAAGCTCTGAATGTGTCACTGTACCTTTTCCCAGTGACACAGCTCCAGTAAGGTATTTAAGTATTTGTCTCTGAGCACGAGCTACTACTGTTCTCTGAAGTAAGTCTGGTTTATGCCTCAAGCTAAACACATGTAAATATTCAGCTGATACAGGGCTAATACAAAAACCAATTCGGATTGACAAAATAATTGTTTTTATAGATGCATGTTGTGATACGTTTTTTGAAAAGTAGTCCGTTCAGATAAATATATGTAATTTAGAATGTGTTTTTAAATAATATATATTTTTGACAGAAAACAGAAGTTATTTTATGCATGGATAATACGTGTTTTTTAAACGTAATATTTCAGTGTTTATTGTCAACATTCTATGCATTATAAATTTTTTTCTTTTTTAACAAATTCTTATCCATCCTAACAAATACTGAGATGTGCTAATGGTCTGCTTGTGTGTACTTCTTAAAAATAAAATTATCAGTTATTTTATATGACATGCTAGCAGCACATATTTCTGTTAAATTTGGGGGGTTTTGCATTACATACACATGCTTACAACCATATTTGTATCAATTTAGTTCTGCTTGTGCTACTAACAAAATATCAAAACCTTTTTGGAAAGTCAACATGTGCAAAGGAAAGATTTCAGAAATAAAATATTGAACCCACTCTGTGACTGTTTTTTAAAAGATCATAGTGGAAAATTGTACAATTTTCATTGATAAATGATACAAAGATATACAGTAACTTGATTTCAGCCTATCTTTTGCTATCCAGGCAGTTAGATTTATTTTTTTTTTCTTCCTCTGTCATTTGCAAGAAATAGATTAGGAATTATTGAAGTTGCTGACGGCTTCAGATATCTCTTTACCTCTAAATGTATACAAACAGAATAAATTTAAGGTATGTCAAAGTATAGGTGACAACTTATAAAATTAAAAATTTGTATTTTTTTAGCTCAACCCATAGTTTCCATTCTATTAATATAGACTTCCTTTTGTTTTCTTCATATTCAGTCACTGGAATAAACATTCTTGATCTCTGAAGTCTTAGAAATATTTTAAAAATGAAGACAGGATTTTCCAAATGATGGTGATGTTGTTACACCTCTCCATTCCTGATTTTTTTTTTTTTTTTCATGGTAGAAATAAGGCTAGTAGTCACAATGATCACTTATTTTTTTCTCAGTTCGTTTTTGAATGGGTATTAGCTGGTCATGTTGCTTGCATTTTAAATTTTTTTAGCTCATTTAGAGACAGAAGTTACTGTGAGCTTTTTTAATAAAGAAAATAAATTATTTTTCTAACTATCTAAGGATCTGGCATTTAGTCTAGATTGCTACTTGCATTTTTAGTAACTGTGTAAAGTACAGCTAAAGTTGTTCTTGCTTTGTTCATTTTACAACATAGAAAACTGTGTGTCATGCTGCAGAATTCTTAGATATGGTTATGCTGAATTAGCTGTATTTTGGGATTCCAATATTTTTCTTTAAAGCAATTTATTTTTACTATCTGTATCACATAGCAAAGTGGCACTCAATTTTCTAGGAGGAAACAGTCATTGTGCTTGCTTTTCTGGGAGATTTCATCTCTTGACAATTTTAGAAGCTCTTGATAATGATGGTGTTACCAGCATCTCACCTCTCAGCCTTTTTTTCAAATGAGATGGTGATTCAGCATTTCCCCAAAAAATGCTTAGTATGCTGTTGCAGTTTTCAAATACAGTCAGACAAAACAGTGCTGCAAATATGTACAGAAAAATTATCAAAGCAACAGTTACTGGTCTGTACTTGATAATGTAATTATGTTTTCAGTCTGTTAGGGTTTGTTCACAGGACTGTTGGCAAGCAGGAAGGTTTCTCTTCTGCTGCTCAGAAAGTCCTTGGCCAGAAAAGCAGTAGAAATCAGTGATTCTGTGTAAAAGTTTGACCATGCTTTTAATGACAAGCTCACCCAGTAGAAAATCTTGAAGAGATTTTAGCTGGGTCAGAACAGGAAAAAAAAAAAAAATTAAAACACTAGTGTTCTCTATCCCACTGTATTTAGAAGATTTCCTAGTAAGAAGGCATTTTTACTGTAGACTTACTAAGGTACATAGTTGAATATTATGCATTGTATGTGTTGTAGGGTTTTTTGGTTTTGATAAGATTTTGTGTTAACTCAGTACGATCCAAGGTACATAAGAGAGCCCATGGCTGAACTGATGTGTCTTTTTGTAAATCAAATCAAAGCCGCCTATGTTACTGTTTCCCCCAATATCTGCATTTTGCTTTATTTGCTACCCATGTTCAATAATTAATTAGATCTTTTTCTGTAGACTTTTCCAGGAATGGCTTAAGTGTGATTGCTATGGCCCTGCTTTTGGGTCAGTTTGTTCTGTCATTTATATCTGGATGCAGAGAGGCTCTGCCAGCACGATATGCACAATTTAAAAGCACGTGGCTAGCACACACAGGAGCTAAATAGCCAGGATTTAATGAGCTATTAGGTTAAGGCCTGGTGTGCTCTCCACCCCTCTTAAGCAACATGCTACGCAAGGCTCCTTGGCTGGCCAGGCAGGCATCGGGCAGGCAGGAAGAGGGGCGCTGGGGAACAGATCCCCCTGTTGCTCATTTCCCCTCTTCCACCAGCTTTGTCCTCACTGGCAACTTTCAAAATTACATTTTAAAATGCAGTTTAGAGCTCACACCACGTTTAAACCTGTATGTCAGTGTATGCCAATCCTTAGTGCAGTGTATGTGTTTCTTAATGGGACAGGATTTCAGAGTTAAGAAAAATTAAGTGCTTTGGGGATGGCAGAGTCACTTTCTAGCCAGTACATTTCCATATTCAATCATAATTTCAGAGCTTTAATTAGATTAAATTGTAAGCATGTAGAGTCCTGAAACTGGTAGACCTTAAAGAGGACCTGACCTCCCTACTCCTGCAATTCTTTGTGATAAAATGGACAGTAACATATCAGTGTGTTTCTTGCTGTTTTTGAGAAAGAAAGGATTTGAAGTAGAAGATCATTATCTTTATCATATGCTTTACATTTGTTAATGTATGGGAACACAGAATTTAAAGCAGAAGCATAAGTCTTAGGGCTACTTGGGGCCCTATGCCCTTTGATCCTGTCTGCCAAGTAGCTTATTATTCATGGCTTAAGGCTGATCGAAGAACTTTATCTGTTTCCTATCTATGGCACAGAAACTGCTATAAACCCTATTGTGAGATGGAGTCTTTCCAGTAAGAGCACAGAAACTCAGTAATTTCTCTCTGGACACCTGCCTCCTTAAGGGGATACCTTTATGGAAGACACGTAGTGATCACTGAGCTCCATACGGATGACTCCTCTGTCAAGTGTGATAGGTTACTCCCACATTTCTTTTGACAAGTCCTTTTACCTATTTAACAGTGAATGAAATCGACACTTGGGATTTTTGTGAAAAGATTAAGGAGGGACTGTTATGATGCAGCTCAAAATGTCTTCTGCGAGAACTGTGTCTGGCATCCTGCCTTGGAATAGAGCCAGATTAGACTTTCTGTGACAAAATCACTTTGTCAGTGATTTTCCTACAGGAAAAGTGACCTGGCTTCCTCTGCTGACAAGATGTTTAGGAGCGTAACATCTGCGTACAGCCCTTACTGCACTGGGAGGCCTAGAGCTGGCCGGCACAAACAGGGATCAAAGCAGGGCCCGATAGGAAAGGGCTGTGCAGGGTGTGATGTAGACGCAATGATTTCATACAGATTTCTTTTTGCTTTTTCAATGAAAGCTTCCTGCAGAACTTTTCAGGCTGACCTAGCTCAAGCATGTTCCTTAAGGCCAGAGAAGTGAGAGCACTGTATTGCTGTCCATTGATGTCCATTCAAGCAGTCAAATCTATGAATTTATTGCAGTCATCCAGGTCACCCTATTATACGTTTGGGTTCAGAATATTTTCTTGTACACTTACGGCTGAACAGTAATCATCTGGAGTTTTCACTCAACAGTAAAGCTTCCCAACGTCTGAATGTGGAGTGTGTTTTATATTGCCATCCACAACTATTTGCACCCTTCACTCACGATTCTTGATGTAATGCTGTTGGCTTGCAACCTTTGGACAAGGCTTTTGCAGCTTCTAACAGTCCAAAGGAATATCACCCTAGTGATAAGTAAATCATTCCCACTCGTATAAATCTAGTGTCTTTCAAATGCTGGTTTTATTGAGAACAATAATATTGTTTCCAGAAAGTAACTATAAACAGGCCTTCTTTGAGTGTCTGACGGACCAGATCAAATACCTGATTAACAAACATATTGTAATACTTCTATGGCAGATTAATCTACTCCATTTAAAAGCAATAGGCAGCTGCAATCTTGTCTCCCTCTTATGGCAGAATAAACATAGCATTTTGTTGCCTGTAAAACAATTAATTGACAATATAAATATTTCATATGCCACTCTTCCTTTTGGTGGTACTACTAAAAATTGAAACCAGGTCTTACTGACTCAAGCTTTGCATGCTCTTCATCCAATTTGACCTTTAAAAAAAATATTTGATAACATCTAATTTCTAAAGCAGCTGTTACACATCCAACAACCATCTCCAGATCTCCCATCAATGTTTCAGGCATGCCGAGCCCTTGTTCATTATCACCATGACCACATTGCTATTCTTAGCAGAGATTCTCCTTTGCAGAGCAGCAGCCTACTCTGCTGTGGCATCAGTCCACTTACTAATTTACAACTCCACCCACTAAATGCCACTGTGAATTATAAACTACTGAAGTAAACCATGTATTTTTAACAGCCTCAATCTGACCATCATGCCTGTTTATAAAAGTCAAAGACATTTTTGAAGTGCAAAAATGCTAAGTTCGCATTTCAGGTTATTTTCAGGACATTGGCTGTTCCTCCATGGTAAGGTTTCCTCCTCCTCTCTCCACTTGAAAAAAATCAGTACATTAATATGCTGCAAAATGCAAACTGTTTTGTACCAACATTTCATTCTTTTTCTAGAGGGAAAAATCCTAAGAAATCTGAAGAAAAACCCCAACCTAGGAGCTTTCAAATACTTTGCCAGAGTGCAGATAAACTTCCTGATTCTGTCCTAAGCTTTATTTCCAACTTATTTCTGTTTTTCTTACCATGCAGTAGAATATTAGGCCCTGTGCTTTATGAACCACAAAAAGCAATAATGGCATCAGTGTTTACATGCCATTGTTCAGGTGTTTGTTTATTTTTTAATTGGTTTGTGTTGTAACAGAGATGACATTTGAACTTAAGTGGAATTTCACCCACAGTCTGGTAGTCATTTATGTGTATTTAGATTGAAGCACACAAGTAACCTCTCTGAGACAGTC